CTCCGGTGCCAAGTTATTCACCAATAGCCTCCTTTTGAATAGGTAACCCCCTTTTGTACTCATGAAAAATAACAAATCGGTATGGAGGGTTTATGCGACCCCCACCGTTTCGCACACCCGCCTCTGTCCCAAAGACGGATCCAGCTTTACTGAAAAGTTCCTCGGCAATCCACGCGTGCACGAAATGGGCAATTCAATTCAAAATTGTGAAATACTGTATCGCGTACAGATTACAATTTCTTATCGTGTATCATCGCACACCCTCCCCCCCCCCCTACACTTCCTTTCCGGCTTCATAACGAAGGAGCTCGCGTTGATATATGTGTTTTTTAGATTTATTTTGCTTTTGGAGGCTTATTTTGTTGTGCAGTTTTTACGCTATGATGTTTTACTTAGTAGAATTTGTACATGAACGGGAAAGACTACAGTCATGAACGAAACGATGCGAAAATGGTGCAATTTTCGCGCGAAAGGGTCACCAAATTTGCACTAAAAAGTATCGTATTCTCCAGCTATCTCGCAATTTTTAAACTTCCGGCCTTTACACTTGGCAAAGTGGCTCACTCCACTTCCAGGGGCCCATTTGAACGCATGACAATTACCACACCACCGTCGGAATAAAATTCCATTCAAATTATGGCAGCATCGATAGTTTGTGCCACTACTGGCATAATAATGCCTTCGTGCAGGGAATACATTTAAGGTGGGCTATGTCACGCACACACAGTGGCCCAGGTCGTCACGCGCGGGCAATGGACCAGGTCATTACCGAAGGCATCATGCAATCGGATGAGATTGGAACCAAAACACCATCAAATTCTCCGGTCTGTTTTACGCATGCCACGACGTCTATTAGTTGTAAGATCGAAATGCAACTTGAATAGTGCTTTTGAGCAAGCTCCTTGCCCCATTGTGGTGCGGTTGCTGATTGGCTGGAGCGGTGGGAAAAGGCGTTTTTCAGCTGAGAGGGCTTTCGCCTTACAATCGCCAGGTGCGGGTTCGACCCTGGCTTTCGGGCGAAATGTTTCATGGCCCACCGCGGAAATCAACGCAACAGCTACATCACAGCAGCAAGGTTGGCTGCTGCGGGGGATGCGGGAGTTGCAACGCTCTTTCTACCATTCCTAGTGTTCGAGGACACATGTACGGTTCATAAGTATAGGTCAGTAGCTTGAAGCTTTTGCAATATTTTGATATCATGCAATCGAAACAAAAAAGAGGTAATGCCTACAGCTGACAACAAACGTCATGCCCATCGACTGCCCCCCACGTGGCCACCTGCCGGACACCACGGCCGCTGGTTTGGTACTCGACGCAGGCCGAGACGCTTGCCGTGCGGCGGACGTGTATGCCCCACGTGGCCACGTGGCTGGACACACGGCCGCTGGTCTGACGCTGACGCAGGCCGAGACGCGGCCGTGCGGCGGACGTTATGCCCCCACGTGGCCACGTGCCGGACACCACGGCCGCTGGTCTGACGCTGACGCAGGCCGAGACGCGGCCGTACGACGGACGTTACAAATGCTCTGCTGCTTACGGTGATGACGTAAGGTCCCGAAACAGAGTAGTGAAACATGTTATTGTGTTCCGCTCTGGGTTGGGGTCATGCCAGTTTCAACATTATGATTTGAATCACGTGGGCATACACACTCGAATGTCGCTATTGGATTTGGAATAAGCCTTAAGGCTCATTCTAAATCCAAAGCAATTATTTTTTTTAAAAATGTGTCGGACATTTGTTCGTCCAAAAATGTACGGCACAAAATGTGGCGTTTCGTGGCAACAAGAAGCTACCTTAAGTTTGCCGCACAAATTTTGGCGCTGGACGCTACGTCAGAGACGAAATTACTTATGCCTACCTGAAACGGGGATGTTCCGCATTACTGTTATATGAGATCAACGGAGGGACACAAAATACGAAATAAACTGGATTTAGTCCACGCGGACGGTAATATTGGTTTTGGTACTTTGAACGCTTTGAGATGAATTGGTAAATCACATGTGCAGGATTACGGTCACGCGTATGCGTACGAAGCGTTACAGGCGCGCGCCTAATTTTTTTTTCTCGATGAGAGCACAATGTTCTGACTCACCTGTTCATGAGCAGGGGTTCGCTGCAAATTTCTTTTACGAACTGCTGCTAACCAATGTCGTATAAGCCTCCTAAGTGATGTCGAGTGAAATCTTCTTTCTACAGAAATAAAAAGGCGAAGATGGATCTTGTCGCCTTAGTACCAAAAACTGTTAAGCTTTTCACCTTGTCTGATTATACGGGTGTCTAAGTATGAGCCATCTTTGTTATGTTTTACTTAGCTATCGGTACTCTATCATTATGATATGTTATTTTAGTCTTGGTAATACATTCATCGTCCCGCTGCTTGTGGTTTGCCCACACTGTCATCGTTGTTGGCTCGCAATAAAAGTCGATAGATCTTGTTCAAGGTTTCGTTATCGCGAAGGCGTCTTACGTCCTGAGCGTCCTTCGTTTTCCCTATTGTTTTTAGCATTGTTTGGCCAGTGTTCTTCAATGCTATCGTATCTTATTGTTTCAGCTGTCATCAGCAACTCCTTCCATTCGACCTCAAGCACGCGTACTCATAAGGCCCTCTTCCACACGCTTCCCCCAGTTAACAGCAGGTGGCGCCGCTTTTCACCGTGGGTTTGCAACATGAAATGTTGAGCTTTGACAGGATTTCCAATTTTCTTGATCGGGTCATTTAGTCAGTACTTCCTGGTCCTGGTATATTGAATTTGATTATGGTCAGCACAAGAACTGTAAAATCACAAAGCCGAATCATCAGGAGCTCAAGACTTTTCTTGCTCATGTGAAGTATGGCGTCCAGACAGTCAGGACACGCGTCTTTCTTTTTTTAAGTGCATTCCGAGTGGTTTGCTTGGATAGCCTTGAGTCCAGAACACTATAAAGCAAAGCCTGTTCTTTGTTCCCTGAAGCCACCATCCAAGTTGTGCCGTCCTGTTCAACCAATAACCTCCCTTCATCTTTTCGCCAGACAGACCTGCCGAGTGCGCACGTGCCGTACAACGCCGCGGCCCGGTCCTGGGGCCCAGTTTAGCCTGTTGGCCTGCTGCCAGCTGACCTTCCCATGTCAGCCGGGAAGGGCAATGAGCCCGTCTTGGGACACGCACCCAGTGCCCAGCGATAACGGTCATACCCGCCTACCCGGTGATAATGGGCCGGTTAATTAGACAATATCCCGCTCCAATACAATGGAGATGGCAAAACCATCGTCATTTCCCTGCGTTTTTTATAGCATGAATGGTTAGCTCCCTTGAACAGTGTGGTCATGAAGTACGCTACCTCCTGTCCGCATGTCTTTGGTGCGATGCAGCGAAGTTGCTGCATTACAGTTTGGCGGGCAGGCCCAGGAAAAGGGCTCGCATCATTTGTGTGAAATGAGCGGTGCGCACACAATTTGAATGCATCCTGCTACAACGGTGTAGCACTTCGCTGCGTGTCTCTGGACCTGAGCCTAGTATTTGGAGGATGGGTGCTGTATGACGAGGATTGGTCTCTACGAAAACGTCGATGAGATGGGCATGAAGATAAATGTGTTTTTCCTAAAGCTGAAATTACCAAATTTGTCTTGTTTTTCATGTTTGTGCGATTTGTTAAGTTGTCTCCCTTTCGAGACATCATTACAAAATGAGGGATCTCTTGCCTTCCAACTAGAGGCAAATTAGGTTTCGTACCACTCTCCATGTCGATGCCAGACGATTCCCAATAGCTGTTTTTCAACAACCGTAACAAAGAGGTGAGAATTAGAACCTAGCATTTACCTCTCCAACCTTTGAAGAAAGGTTTAGAGGCTCCCTCGTACATGGTGAAAGGTTACTTAAGAAACTGCTGAGTTCACTGCCCACCGGTCGGCAGTTTCTGTGCAAATGTTATGATATGATATTTACCCTTGTGCCACGTCTTCCTTACCTACTTTTATTTGGGAGCTCAAGGAAAAACTGCTAACTTTGCATACCTATTTCCTATGCTTTTGCTTAGCTATTGCTCACAGTTTACAGAAAAAACACAAGTTGTCGGGAGTCTGGCTCTTTGACCCGCGTTTGTATTGCAGGTAGCTCTTTTACAATAAGATCGGATGTAAACAATCCCACCAAGCCCTTATTACGCAGCACCGCGCAAAATCTTACCGAGCTGTCAAATCTGCGCCTCAAATTTCAGGCCTCTCCTGTGTGCCGCATCACGCCGTCAATTGCTATCTGTCCCTCCCTCTCCACCCCTTCCGCCGCGTCGGTCCTCCCACGCTGTCGCATCCCGCTGAGCGTGGGCCGCGTGTCTATTGATCGCCGGCTGGAGCCTCCCGCGGGGCCGTCCGGCTGCCGCGCAGCTGCCCCAGGCCGCGGCAGTGCGCGATACGACAGCAAAAACTATTTATCCGCCGAGGTTCGCCAGGCCAAACGGCGACCAAACAGGCCAGCTGATTGGTTGTTTGCACACCGCATGGGCGGGGCCAGCGGGCCGGCGGGTGGCCGCTCCGCCAATCAGCGGCGAGCAGCGCCATCATTGGGGCGGGCCACTGCGGGAAAATATTTGCGGCCCGGGAGCGTGCCAGAGATACCAACAAGGCGGCTGGATTTGTCAGTTTGCGGTCCCGTGCGAGCCGGGCCGGAGCGCTCTCGTTGTTGTGCAGTGACGGCACCGGCCTCGCCAGCTCGTCGGAGCCAGCGCACCTCACGCCACGGCACCACAGCCGAACCCAACGCGGCCATTCCGGCCCGCCATGGAGCCTCTGAGCGACGCGGGCGCCGATCTGTCGCACCGCATGGCCGTGGTGCCCACTAGCCTGCACGAGGCGGTGCGTGCCGGCTGCGGGCCGGACCTGCCGCCCAGCTCGCTGGCGGGCCCTCTGGGCGGCGCTGCGCCCCTCCTCTTCAGCCCCATCAAGTTCGGCGTGCCCGGCCTGGACCAGCTGCCGCTGCCGCCGCCCGCAGCTGCACCAGCTGCAGCTGCAGCAGCAGCTGTACTCGTACGCACTGCAGCAGATGCAGCAGGCGCGGCAGCAGTCGGCGGGGCTGCCGCCGCCCTGGGCCGTGCCCTACCCATACAAGCTGCTGGACCCGCGGCTGGCGGCGCTCTGCCGCCCGCCCGAAGAGCCCAAGCCGCAGCACTCGTACATCGGCCTGATTGCCATGGCCATCCTCAGCCACGCCGACCGCAAGCTGGTGCTGAGCGACATCTACCAGTACATCCTGGACAACTACAGCTACTTCCGCAACCGCGGCACCGGCTGGCGCAACAGCATCCGCCACAACCTCTCGCTCAACGACTGCTTCATCAAGGCCGGCCGCTCGCCCAACGGCAAGGGCCACTACTGGGCAATCCACCCGGCCAACGTCGACGACTTCCGCAAGGGCGACTTCCGGCGGCGCAAGGCGCAGCGGCGTGTCCGCAAGCACATGGGCCTGACGGTGGACGAGGAGGACTCGCTGTCGCCGCCGCCGCCGGGCGCCGGCCTGGGCCGGCCTACCGGCGGCCGCCCCCCCACCGCGCCGCCGCCAGTTCGACGTGGCCTCGCTGCTGGCGCCCGACGAGCCGCTGACCCGGCTCGAGCCGGCCGACGACGAGCTCGACGTCGTCAACGGCGGCGACGGCTCGCGCTCGCCGCCGCCGCCGCTGCCGCCTCCGGCGTCGGCAGACGACGGGCGGGACGAGCGGCGGGACGAGCCGGACGAGCGGCGGGGTGAGCGGGACTCGGTGCCGCTCAGCTTCGCCGGCTTCCGGGCCGCGGACACGCCTCGCTCGCCCTAGACGACCCGCGGCGCCGGCGCCGAGCCAGGCCGACCCGGTTCGCCCTGGGCTGACCCGGACCGCCCTGGGCTGACCCGGACCGCCCTGGGCTGACCCAAACCGCCCTGGGCTGACCCGGACCGCCCCGGGCTGACCCGGACCGCCCTGTCTCAGCGGGGAGAGAGGCGCCGGGACGGACGCGGCGAGACCGGCGCCGAGACGCGGCCGGACGGCCGGCACCGCGGCACACGTACCTGGCCGCCAGGAAAGGTCAGGCGAATCGCGTGTCCAAGCTGTGGTCGGGTCATAGGGGTCGCGGCCCTGGCGCCGCGGGCGTCCGTGCTCAGACCGGCGCGCTAGGGCCTCTGGTCTGGACCTCGCCCCGTGTCACGGATGGTGACGCGCCGGCTCAGCGCGTGTAGGAGACTGACCCGGTGTCATGACGGCGTCACGGTGTCACGTCATGACACTCGTGCAGTTGCGGGCTCGTCATCCAAAGATGTCTGCGCCGTGGATCGGGTATATGAGCATGTTGGGCTGTGCTTGCTTCGGCCAGGCCCTGAGCCCGTAGTCAATGTCAGAATCTAGCCGCAAATGTCTATGTGTGTAAATAGCTTGAGATTTACGGTATTTATTTCGGTCCTCGGACACGCGAGCTTGTTGTCATAAGGGAGAGCCCGATGGACCGCGCGCTGTTCTGCACGTAGTGGGTATGCAATGAGGTAGTTGGCAGGTTAACTGCAATATAAATATTGCTGATGATTTGCCGGGTGGCTTCAAGACCACGCCTTCTGTGTACCTATACTCGCACAATTGTTTTAAAAGAAATTAGGAATATATGGTGCTCGGTTGATGCTTTGTTTTCAATGGCTGACAGTTTGTGCGAGTGGTGTTGCTAAAATCGTTGAATTTTGACGCACGTACGAGATTCTGGGTGTTTTCATGAAGCGATTGTACAATGCTTCTGGATATTTTACTTGCTTGCTCAGTGAGATGAAACGACAAGGAGATTATCTTTTGTCCAAGTTCCAGGTGAAACGATAATGCTCGAAACGGAGTTACTCGTGAACAAGTTGTAAAATACACAATGCGTATACATATGTGCAACCATTACCTTGTGAGCGCTATTGGCGGCTGTATCATGTATGGCATAAAATAGGGACGAAAAGGGTGTTATTGATGTTATGTATCTGTCATTTTTGGAAAGATGAATGTATTCAGTGGTTCAGTAGAAGCGATCCCAACATCACGACCATCATACCCCAAGCTTGGGCCCGTGCGAGCAGAAGCAGCTTTCCGAAGGGGCAAGTATTTGTTGTTCACTTACCATAGCAGGCATAATGTAAGTCACATGCCTTGCCATGAAGCATTACTTCGTCTGCATTGCCCTGCACACGCTATGTTAAGAGCATACAGACACTTGAGCCGGTACTAGTACTGGCGCTTCAATTCAAGTTACATTCGTAGGGTCTTAGCGTGCCTTCAAGCGATACGCGCAGATTTTGTTTGATTAGCGGCCTCGACAATCGCATGTGGCGAAAACCCGAAGCAGAAGTGGATTGGTCCGTGATTTCCCTTCTCGACGTTTCGCCTGGTAATGTAATGCACTCCGCCGTGAGCCACCTCACATGCAAAGCGAAAACAGACTCAGAAGGTGCCAACTTGCACTGTTACACAATGCCCTGCCTGTGATATTACGTAACGACATTTTCCCAGCCAGAAGAGGCATGGGATGCAATGTGGTATATAATCGCGACTGCGCTGGGCGATACACAACACATACCTCAGACGCGTCAATGCTTGCGAGCGCTGCTGTAGACCACGTGAGACGTGCATGAGCTGTGAGACGCAAGGATTAACTGAACCAGCCCAGCCGCCATGCTCTTTACCAGGCGATAGCCTCGGAGCCACCGATCGCGGGCCTCATGCGGGTCAGCAGCAAGCAGCGCATTGCTTTAAAAGTTGTGCCGTTTAAACGCACGAGAAAGCAAACCATGGATCAACCAGCTGTGGAGGTATTTGTTGGCATCAGATCTCAACTGGAGACATAGACCAGAAAGACTGGAAATCGGTTGCGCACTGTCGGCGAACATGCCGCCTACAAACGAGGCGGGTAGGTCAGTGTCGCCGGATCCTTAGGAACGCCGGCGATAGGACTGGAATCGGCGATATCACGCTCAAAAATGCTGGCCTCGAAGAGCAGCCCGCAGCCTAAGACGAGGCAGCCATGCCTGCGTGCGACCCATTCAGTTGTTATCAATATCCACACAGAATGTTAGTGTTTTTTTCAACGTCTTGGCCGCAAACCATGCAAACGTCTGAGGGAGTGTTCCACATTTATGTGGGGTGTTGAACTGAACTAGCCATATTAAAGAAATTCTAGTCCTGTTCACAACCATGCTCTTCTTAAGACCTAAGCCCATCTAGTTTCTGAACTCAACGCCCTCAAAAATGGGGGAGAGTATTTCTTGCAGAGCATTTCCAAGCCACATTAGCATTCATGACAACATAATAACGTCATTCAAATAATGTCATTCCATAAGTCATGCAGCGATTCAGGCCAAGAAAAATATAACTGCCGAGGCGTTCATATCTGGCGTTCATGAGCACGATTTTCAAATATAACGGCTGTCAATTGGCTCTCAGTCAATGTTGTGCAGGGTACGGTGGCGCAATCAAACCATGACATGTTAAGAGACATGGTTTCTAAACAGGGAATTGTGCTGTTTAGAGCGCCTTTTCCGCTTAAAAAGTGTACCATATTGATAAGTGAGCTTATTTCATCATATCTGATGCTTGCTTCAGTATCTTCCAGTGTGAAACATTCTCTTTAATAAATGCAAATTGCAAAAATTCGTCGATTAAAATGACAGGTCGGCCGTCAGACAATTTCCAGCAATGTTACTAATCAATCTGCACGTGAGCGTGAGATGAGCGAGCTTTTTTGCCTGCTAAACAGTGATGAAAGACAAATGATGAGATCCATTTGATGGGTTTCAGGGGTGTAGTTTTTTATTCAGTTGGTAGGAAGGAGGGCTTCCAGCCC